GCATTTTCACTCGCAACAAAACAACAACGGGGCTATGTATATATATATATATATATATCTATCTATCTATCTATCTATGTGTATATTTGTGTGACGCGACATCGCCGTTGGGCTTGCGATCACCAACGCGACTCTTCAAGCCGGGTTGCTGTCCGTCTCTATGAAAGCGATCGTCGTCAGCCCAGCCTATCGGGCTGTCCTGGTGCGGCTATGCTTAAAATGATGATTGATACGCAGTGTTGGTCGCTGGAAATACCGGCATCGATTAGTGTTCGAATCGAGATAATCAACAGCCAACAGTAAAAGGCTTACTATATCACTGGATGAAGAAAATCAGGATAAATTAGGTTAGGTTAGGTTTGGCAGTCGATCACGCCAATGTCAAGAGGCTTCATCGAGACCTTTGGAGGAGCTGTTTGCAAAGCTGTTCTATTGTGAATTCTATTTTTAAGAAAATAACTTAAGGTTTCTGCAACGAAAAGGAATAGACGGATTTCTATCCTACTATCAGCTTGTGTATGATATACTGACTGACCAGCGAATAGATACATCAACAACCGAGAAAAGAACGTACGTTCCATTAAATGTGAAGTTTAAGCACACAGTACTAGTGCTCGAAAATCGTACTCTAGCCAATAGCACACGAAGTATTGTTAGTGCAACAACAGGCGTGCCTGTATCTCGGTCGAAGAAGAGCTTTAATCAAGAGATTCTAAGATAAGGTGTAGGGAGAATTAATAAACTATTGACACTTCCATTTAACATATGAACGCACGACTTTAATCCGTCTAAATCTAAAAAGTCTAAGAAAAATCGCCTTCAGCGCTATGGAACGTCGGTTGTTCCTCACTTTTGTATTTAGCGAAGATGCGTTTTGAAATAAATAGGCCACAGTGATCAAGCCTTAAAATGGCCGGATCAGTGGTGTTGTCGTTGAAATCGACATAACGACTGTCCTTTTGGCTGGCTGCTGGCTGCTACTGAATCGACAGACCGTTGGCAATCTTCCTGCCATGACAAACTCGAAACGAATCCATAGACGGCTATCAGTCAGTCGAAGCTAACCGCCTCTGTTTTATTCAATCCATAAAAAAAAAAAAAAAGCAAAGTGTATATCAAATCTGTACTATTTTAATAACAGCGCTTCAGTGTGTTGTCGCGGTCACAGAGATCATCAACTATAGTGTCGTTGACACCCGACGTTCGTCGTCGTCAAACTGATAATCTGCTCCGTGTAAAAAGACAAACGCATACGCACAAATCGCGTAAACGCTTTGCGTTTGTTCGTAGGCCGTACGGCGGCGAGGCCGGCGACAGCAAGTATCAGGACACGATAGTAATAATGGCAGTATTGCCAAGCGACGCAGTTTCATTGCGCGACGGATTCATTGCGCTTCTCCCCCTTCTAGGCCTTTCATCAAGTCATTGATTTGTGACGGGTTTGCTTCCGGGTATAGAATGGAGTTTGAGTGATTTCAGCTTGGCTTTTATGCCGCGAAGTTTCGTCTTATTTATGCCACTTGACTATTCTCATTGAAATGAGTATTGCCAACGAGCCGAATTGTTAATACGATATTTAACAGAGTCATTTTTTAAGTCGTCACGCTCGTACACGTACACTTATACAGTAACCATACGATTCACATTTACATTAGCTATGCTCGCAACGCTTCGACGATTCATCCTTTTCTCGTCGTTGCGGACGCCGAAAATTCCTTTCAAGGAGGATCTTCAACGAGGTTGTTTAGATGTTCGACGCACACTTCCTATCTATGTTCGGCCTGACTGTGGTCATATAACGAAGTACAAGCAGGGTCGTCCGACACCTAACGCACGCGCACGCACCTAATACGTAAAACATTAGCGCCACCGAACTGTTACTGCATGTCCACACGAACGTCGGGTGATTCCGTGATGGATCGGAATAGATAAATAAACCTGAGCGAACGCGACGGATTTACCCGTCATTGTCTTTGGCATCAGCATCGTCTGGTATCACAGTTTATTAATGACTGAGGAGTAGCTCGACATCTTGACGGCAATCATCTGCTTTTTTTGTTGATGTCGTTGCTTTAATTCTTGACGCGGAAGTGGCGCTATTTCAGATAGGACAATAACAGCGGGAATTGATTTAATAATAACAATCCAAAGAATGCTTTATTTAAGAAAAGGACCATGTCTCAAAGTCAATATTTCTATGTGTGGCTATCTCGTGTCCCGAAACAGGCTAGTTACGATTTTGTTAAGCAGTTTGGCAGGTGTAGAGTGCTCTATTTGTACAACAGACATTGCTTCGATAATCTGAGATTGAATTTTATCGCTTCTCAACATTACTGCTCTCGATTAATTATCACTAACTGGAGCCGTTACCTATCTCTATGTTCTTTCCGTTTTTCTCATCGATACATAAATGAATACGTTATCATAAATCGAGGCGGCCCTAACTAAAGTTCGACATACGTATGGGTTTCAAAAGCAGCTGTCTGTACGTTGCGACCAGCTCGTCCGGCCTTTTCTATCATCTTCGACCTTGTCGTCCTTTTGGCCTATCACCGTCTAGTTATTGCTGATTATTTGATCAATGTCATTTTCACAACATTTCCTCGCTTCGCGCAATCAATAAGCCAGGCCGACCGGCTTGGCTCTAGTCTAAACAGGTGGCCTTTATTATTATGGGGTGGGCCCTGTTTTGACCTAGAAATCGAAATTGTCGATCTAGAAATTTGTCAACAGAGATATTGTGTATGAACTGTCAATAGAAACGAGCCTTCCGTCCCGTACCGCCATTCAAATTATATACACTGTTTTCGACTTTCCGTCGCGCATTTCTCTGAAATCGCCTAGAATTTTTTATGGCTCGCCCACTCGGCGTAAACGTTCTCGCTATATACAAAATACAACTCTCGAGTGTTGGCACTCATGAATTCTTTTTCTTTTTTATTTTCTGTAATTGTTTTCATAGCCCTTTCCCTCCATTCCAGACTCCTCGAACCTCATCTTCGCAGACTACTCGTCTTAAGAAGATTTTTAGATTTTAAGAATTTTTCACCGGCTGTTTTGGTGCTGCTTCTGACGCGGCCGCTGCCAACACCTCTGCATTTGTTCGCGGCAAAAAGTAAGTTGTCTATTTGGTTTTGCTTCGCGCAATCAACGACGCCACGTGACAGCCATCGTAACAGCATTAGGACTATATCAGACACTATATCGTTCTGTTATGCTGCCGTAGCAGCACCAACAACAGTACAGCTCAATGTGTTGTATTAGTTATTATAGTCATAGTATATGTGGGTGCGGCCACGAGCGGTCAACCATTGCCAGCGACAGCAGCAATACGCTCGACTGTTTTCATCATCATCAGATCCTCCTCTCAGCAGCAGCGGCCGGTTCGTCTGCTTCTCTCGAGGCTCGCGTCGTTGTCGTCATGGCTCCCATGAGCAACTTAGCCGCCCTCTCGGCCTCGTTCGTCTCGCAGCGATTGCGGGGTGGTGACTGGTACCGCTGCCGTTTCGATGATGGCTAAATAAATCATCGCTGACTGGCAGCCAGCAGACAAAGGCGCTGACGAGGAACGGATGATAGGGCGGACAAATTCTCTCCCTCTGAGTATTTCTTAAGCTTCGCTCCCTTTGTACGGCGGCCTTCTCTATGGCCATGCCATGCATCCCTGTCACGGCCAGCGCACTCTGACTCACTCTGCCACTGTTGTCACTGTTTTATTCGGTTTTTCTAAACGACGGTCGGCTGATAGGCGTCAGCATTAAGTCGTATCAGAAGTCGAAGCAGACGTCGTGACGGAACGAGCACGAAATGCTGATGGATGTTCGTTATATTTCGTGCTGGCAAGCAGCAGCTGAACGTTAGGGAACGAAGCGAGACGACTCAGCCAATGACCTCAGGGTTCGACGGTACTGATCGAACGGGTAAATCGGCCGGACAGCCATGAAACAATGTGAAAACCTAGTGGTTTTTCGGCGATCGGCCGGCGTTTGATGACTTGGCTGCTGTCCATTGTTGGCCTCTTGGCTGTGGTCTGCTTGCTCTTCGAGCATCGGTCTATACCGTTACTGCTCGCCATTCGGTACCGCACCCAAGGCGATAAATGTTGCGAAGTTCCCCTTTGACCACTTTTTTGCCTGCTGCCATTGTACAGTACTTTCCGTCGGATAGTGACGACGGAATGGATGGATCTCGGCTTCCATTACGTTCGCGCTGGACTACTTTCGAGAATCAGCTACATTTATAACAGTGTTATGTGGCGATGAGAAGAAAAAGCGTTTGAACGAGACAAATCTAAGCGAACGATTGACATGTTCCAACCACAACGACAGCGCTAGTGGTAATATCATGCAGATGTTGACTCCTGCAGCGTGGCGGACCAGGCGAGTTGGTGTGTATCCTATGTCGACAGGGGACTGCCGCAAAGAATGTCTGTAGAAGAAAAATTACCAGTCACTAGTATGGCTACTGTGGAGAAAGTAATCTGACTTGTAAGCTCTACATTAATCAGCGCTCATCAAAGGTGGGCCCAATATTGCCATCTGAAAAGCTTAAACAGCGCGTTACTATCAACGTTTTGTGGCTTAGTCCATAAGGAGCCATACCCACGCGCCATCGCCGCCCATGTCGCCTTCATTAACTCACCTGCTAGCACGCATCATCGTTATTTACCACCACCATCAACTAGCCGAGCCCTTTTTCACCTTTTCCTTTTCTGTAGGCCTCTCACGTTGTTTATTGCTCTATATGTAATTCACACGCTCGCTCCTTTCTACAGTTCAGGCGTCAACACTCACCGCGTTGTTACACTGAAGCTGCCAGCGGTGGTGAACTCTCTCCCTCATCCAGTACTGAATAGAGCTCACGGCCTTTAGCGCGCGGGCTTATCCTCTCCCGACTAGAGAGGGCATCCAATTGATCTCGCCACTCAGGCCCTCGCCACTTTGGTCCGAGAGAGGGCTGCTTGCCATCTCACTCGCAGCTCGGCGCAGAGCAGGAGCAGCGATAGCACATCGTGGTGAGACCTCCGACTGAACGGTGGTCGTCAATATTCCCACGGGCAAACGTTGCATAACAAGCGCCTAACGGAAAAAAAGCAAGAATCAAGTGAACGGCAAGTTCTTATTGAACCCTGTACGCGAAAGGATATAGTCTTGTGTGATAGTAAACGAAAGACATCTTGAAGTTTGTTATTCCGCTTCGTGGGAAACAAAGCATGGCTTACTTCTTTGTGCATCTACCGTAGGAGAAAACACGAGAACAAGCCAGATCTGTGCGACGCTGAGCAAAGCTGCATTTGCTCAATAACACTGACGGGAAATAACAAAAGAAAAAAAAAAAAACTGTATAATTAAGATCATATTACACTGGATCTCTTACCGGTATACCCTGTACAATTGCGGATTTTTAGCAGAATCGTGTTGTTGACATCGAACGCGTTGAGGTCATCATCCAGACGAGTACGCTTTCGTTGAACGGAGTTTGTGTGTGCAAAAGATATCGTCCTCGAAATATGGGATTATAGCGATCAACAGCGTGATGGTACGTTTTTACCCTGCCATAAGGTGTCAGCTGTCATCGCTAAAATCGCCAGCTAACGTCGTGTACCAGTGCCTCATAGGGATAATTCAGTCAGAAAAGCGTTTATAACTACAGCAGAGCTTCTAGAAAACGGAGAGAAATTGTGTAATCTTTGTGGCTCTTGTGTGTGACTTATGTGTGCCATCGTGCTATAGTCCACGATCTGTTCCTGTACAACCGCTTGGATACATTACCCTGTAACACACAGGAAGGACAACACTTTGTTCAACTGGATTTTCGTGCTTCGGTTGACTAAGTGACCTTCAACTTTAGGTGGTCGATGTCGACCCAGTCAACATCACCGGTGTTCGGTACTAGTAACAATAATAACAATATTATTACGGAGACGAAGGTCGAAGCCAATCGTAGAGGCACACACAGTAGCACGATGCTCACACCAAACCCGAACCAGTATCTCAGGCCAGAGTATCTGTCGCCTTTGCCAACCACGGTAAGAAAAGCGAGATCATTCGAGGAAAACAAAGTTTCCTTGGCCAAATAAAAAAACGACAATATTATTCTAGCTGATTTTTAATTTCCTTAGATTATCTGGTTGCTTGTATTTGTTAATCAAAAGCATTTTTTGAATGAACTTGCGTGCTTGCGATCGTCGTCACACGAGTAGACTAGGCGGACAAATAGGCACAGATAGAATGTACTACAATAGCCTTATAATATGCTAAACTGCACTTTTAAGCCATCATATAGAAGCAGCGTAGGATCAACAACGAGTAAATTTCTATCAAAACCGATGGTTTTTTTCAAGCGCAAGAATCGTCACTTTAAATAGACATATTAGCTAATTTTTCGTTAACGATGTGATTAATCAGCTAGCTTCGAAGCTGGTTCTCAATTGCAAAAAGAGCTATTACATATGGGTGTTTTGATTCGCAGTGAAAAACTGTCCATTTTTTACGTTGTTCTAACAGGATAGAGGTATGTGGACACTTTGATAGAGCTATGTGTGTGGGGGTCTTTTTTATGGCAAGATAAATACCTTTTTGCCACACAGATAGGGAAATACAATTGTAACAGTTTGATACATATGGTTCACCCATAAATACTACTTCCGTCTGTCTAACTATTCTCTTACTTGACTCTTGCTTATTCGTCCGTGTCTACCCTGTGGCCTCCTAATATAATGCTGTTTATCGAAGCTGAGAAACTTGACTAGAATATTTAGCAGTGGTATCGTGTATAAAATATAGGGTCGTGCCTATAAAACGCAAGATGCATATATAAAATATTCTATACTTGGTAATTTCGCCGTATTTAGGCCTCAAATATTTTTGGGACTGTTATGACAATGACGGTAATGATTATGATGATATTGACAATCGAGAAAGTGCAATCCTTGTTTCTAACTCTGATTTTGTCTCATTGCAGCTGGACGCGAAAAAGAGCCCCCTCGCGTTGCTAGCACAGACATGCAGTAATATCGGAATGGACAGTCCTAACCACAAGCCGATGCTCAGTGTCAACAGCGAGACTAAAAGCAAGAAATCAACAGCGGATGACCGAAAGAAGTCAGATCTATCATCGGGCAGCCTGAGTGGTCTGGGCTCATTATCGACGAGCACCGGCAGCTCAAACAGCTCAAGCAACGACAGCGAGAAAAGTCAGCCTGCCTTTAAGCCGTACGATCTGAACCTGAAGAAAAGTCCGACGCCACCGCGGTCCGAATTGAAGGACGAAGATCGCCGAAGCCGAAGTAGTCCGTTGAGCCAACGTTCACCAAGAACCTCGCCCGCTGTGTCGGAGAAAAGCGATAAGGGAGGCAAGTCAACCCCTAAAGGAGGCGCTTCCTCCCCAGCGGCATCGATTACATCTGCAGCAAGCGTCACCTCGTCGAGCACTACTACGCTTTCGGGACTTGGCTACCCCGGCCTTGAGCATCTATCCCGTGGTGCGGACCCCAAGGAAAGTCTTGCCGCTCTCCACCTTGCATACAAGAATCTAGCAGCTGCCGCTGGCCATCCAATGGCCGGTGCGCCTTCTCCACTTGCTGCTGGACACCACCCGTTAGACCTCAAGGGACTACCGAGCCCGTACGCCCCCGTTTTGTCGTCGTATGCCGGTTACGCGCGCGTAAAGACGCCTTCAGGTGGCGTCAGCCTCGTACCCGTTTGCCGCGATCCGTTATGTTCCAGCTGCCAGCTGTCAATGCAGTCTGCACAGCTAGCTCCATGCCCCTCTGGCTGTACGTCATGCACCCATGAACGTGTCGTTCCACCCGCGATTCCTTTTCTGCCCGGTCTTCACGGGTCTTCCGCATTGTTCCCGACATATCCCACCCATCCGCTTGCCGGACGCACGCCCAACGTTTGCAGCTGGATGGTCGGCGACTCGTATTGCGGTAAGCGATTCAGCTCATCGGAAGAACTTCTAGCCCATCTGCGTACGCATACGACATTGCCAGGTGGCGACCTGCCCCATCCTTTGTTGACGCCTCCAGGGCTTTCACCATTCGGCGGCTCAACAACCTCACCGCCGCTGGCAGCACCCCTCACCCCCCTAGCACCCCTTCCTCCCCCACCAACATCCTCGGCCTCACTTCGTCGTTCGTATCCATCTCCATCGCTGAGCCCCATAGGATCGTCAACGTCATCAGCTGCGGCCCGTTTCCATCCTTACTCGAGTCCACCGACGTCGAAAAGCTCGTCAAGCTCCAGCTCGTCAACGCACACGACCGGGTCGTCTTTATCTACCAGTTCATCTTCAGCTTCGTCGACCAGCTCGACGACAACCAACACGCCGCCGACGTTAACGCCGCCACTTCCGGCCGGCTTCCCTGGAGCGCCCTTTCCACCTCTACCTCACCCAAGCGCCGCGGCCCTATCCATGTTCAGCATGTACAATCCGTATGCGATGTACGGGCAGAGATTGGGTCCACCAGTGCACCCATAGGTAACGCCGTCCGCTCCTGGTTCTGGTGGTGCAGATGGCTCAGTTCTCCCCTCGATACTGGACGCACCACCGCGTCAGCTCGTCAGGCTTAAGGCCAGACGGTCTACGCCCTCAAAAAACCAAAGCTTGTGATTTCAACTTAACAGAAGGTGAAAACAATGATGGTTCAACGAACGAAACAAACAGAAACAGACGACAGGATACAGGGAAGCTACACACATATGCACAGACAGAAGGTACCGATAGAAGTCTCATAGCGACGGGTTCGACAATGCATATAGTCGATTTAGTCAATAGAAAAGTAAAAAGATGAAGAACAACAAGCTAAAGTTTAAAAAAGCGTCTGCATAAATTTGCGGTGGCGGGACCGTCGAAAAGCTAGATGATCGCGCCGGAAAGGAGCGGAGTGGTAGAAGAACCTTCAGTAACGATGAGATAACGAAAGACCAAATTTGCTCATATAAATAAGAAGGCCAAAGGAATAACTGAAAAGGCGGTAACGGGTCCGTGGACAGCTCCAAATAATACGTGAACAACAGTGGCTAACACTAAACCCGGAATTAAACTTTCTTAAGGGTGTATTCCATTTCAAGGCTCAACTGTATCACTGCTGCAAATATCGTTGCGAATGGCACCGTCATCTGTCAGCCATTTTAGCGGGCGTTTGTTTAGTGGTCGTCTAGAGATTCTTCGCAGACGGCCGCGATCGTCGGACATACATGTCACGGTCATCATAAACATAGTGAGACGAAACGCAGCACTCCAACCAGTTGGTTTCTTTTCATTGTTTTGAAGTGTTTGCAACATCAGGCGGGGACATTTAACTGACGTCTGTACTGTCTGTTTTCATGCTTATCTGACAACAACAGCAGCAGCAGCGACAACGACAACAACCAATGCAGCAACGATGATGACGAAAACAGCTTCAAAGAATAACAGTTGATTTCTACGTTCAGATCAGTTGCAACTAGAATTGTGGCGGACGAACAAATCAGACCAGACATTAAACATTGCCAACCAAGGGCAATATATTTGGTAGCAACATTATGGCTTGCTACGACAAGATCCCGACGTGTAGGACACTTGACCGAGGTGACATATAGGCAAGGTGATTACCGAAGTAGCTTATTAGCGCAGTCAGACGAATCTACGTAGATGGAAACTAGACTAACCTTGACAACGGTGACGACGACGACGACGAACAAAATCAGCTAGAATTAGACTTACTTCAAAGAAGGGCGTTCCGTTCCTGAAATGATGCCAATGAAATACAAAAAATGGAATTTGACAACAAAATATACTTGATACACTACCAGTCTTAAAATTTAGACAGACAAGGAGTGCGTCTACGCTATTACAATGCGATAGGTACGAAGAAAAGCGACAAAAACGTAAAAAAACGAAGAGCGAAAGTAACTTTAGACAAGTCTCTGACGTGCGTCTGCCATCCCTCAGACTGTTCGTCGCTGGCCGCTCAGCTCTGTTCGGCTCCGAGCTTCTTCGTTCTTTGTCATCTCAGTCACTACCTCATTACGTCAATCCCCTTTTAGTCGCTCCTCAGCTCTCTCTCGCGCCTGTTCTTCTCCTGACTATGACAGTTCCTCGATTTGTCCTGAAAGATGACACGCTGCTGCGCGTGTCGCTCACATTCATCACCCCTCAACGTTCGCCCATTCGTTTACTTGGTCTTCTCGCATATGTCTGTCATTTCTATGAAGCAGTCGCGTATCTGTTTTTGACATCCTTCTCTAGCATCTCCGATCGCCCCGCAGCTTAGCCATAAGACGACAGCCGCAAATGGTAGAACCCACCGTTGTTGGCGGTTTCGACCGCACTGCCACTACGACCGCCGCCAGCGACTGTCATCATTCGACCCGGTGGCCGCGTGCGCGCACACGCAACGTCACCCTGTTTACAGCGTTGTTCAACGTTGCTTCATGCAAGATTCAGTGGGTATCGAGTAATTGTAGTAATCGTTTTCAGTCCATCACTCTGCGTTCAACTAGCAAACAATCGAGCGGACGAATAATCAGCGGAACAATGATGGGGTGCCAATATGGACTATGCAGCGGCTACATTGGGTTGCTAGACAACGACACACGCCTTCCCGTTTTGCTGGTGTCATTGCTGCTCCTATAAAACTGTTATAACACAGCGTTGGTTGTCCGTCCAATACTCGTTAGTATGTGCCAGCGTCACTGCCTGAACCTAATCAACCTACAAATAGCTCTCTCGTTACCGCTGTTGGCGATGCGTAAGCATAGGTTCTTAGCTTGCCGTTCATCTTCTGTGATGGAGCGACAAGAGAAGCAGAACAGAGCGGAACGGCGAGGTGAACCGGAGGCGGCTGCAACCCGCCGCTACTGGTGTTCAATCTGTAGCTAGGTTCTGTAGCGTCAGGTTTAACCTTTTGCAACATTATGGTACCGTAACATCAAGAATGATCCAAGGCACCGTGATTAAAAGGATGACAGCTAATCTAACAAAAGCTTATGCTGCTGCTGCTATGAATAGTTGCCTGCGTTACGGGTGAACATGGCTCAGGGTACGTTGTGTTCTACCGTTGTTTGCCATGTATATTCCAACCGATCCAGTGACGCTTACTTGTCCTCGCCAGCCGTCTCATGGCTTCTGCGTATTTTGAGCCGTTACGGCAGCCGCGGCGGCGCTGATCGCCACCGGCAGCATTACCCGTCCGTCACCCACCCCAATTTTGCCATCCAGCATTATCGCTTTCTATCACTACAGCCCAGCATCGACAACGTTTATATCGACTTTTGACAACAAGAACACCTTTAAGAGGAACTGTTTTCACTGGCGACGCCGATAACGCAGACAACACCGGAGTCTGTCAATATTTGCCGCGTTATTTCTGGTTGCTGTTATTGCTGCTGCTGCTGCTGCTGCTGCTGCTGCTACTGCCGTCGTCCGATCATCGAATTCAACGGGACGAAATGAATTATGAAAGTGACGCGATTTTTTTAGCCAGCTTACATTCTTTGTTGATTGACGGTCTATTGACTACTAACTGAAATAACTCGCGTTTGGTCTGATCACTCTTCCTCTCTCTCGCCCCCCTTTCTGATCGTCTGTCTGATGATTCGTTCGTATGTTATCAGCTGTGAACGCTGGCGTGTCTGTTGCTGTTAACGCCGCTGACTTGCCTGGCCGTGCGTCATCATATATCTGCCCATTCGTAGATCTGGTCGATCAGGCGTCAGACGACAAGCAGTTGAGTTGCATGGCTAGATGCCGGAAAGCCGGAGCGGAACGGTTGCTTCTGTCTGCTTGTCTATTCATTGACGTTAACGTTGGCAATGACGATGTCGATGTCCGACAACACCTCTCGCCGTTCGACCAACGACTGATAACTGACAACGCTTACCCTGCCAGCGGTAGCAGCAACCTACAACCGGTGCCGTCAATTCCCCAGGCAGCGAATCAAATCTACCGAGTCAATCGGATATGACAAATATTTTGCCGATACCCACAAAGACAACGGATGAGAAGAGAAGCAAGCGAAAGAAAACTGTTGGTAAAAAGATGACGACGACGGCGGCGATGCTGATGTTTGTCATGATAATGATTATCGTGGCGATCCTGTTGGTGGTATCTACGACGGTTGCGCTTGCCGCTTGATGTTATTCACTGTTGTGAGATTGATGGTGATGATGTTTCCAATGGCGACACAGCCGTGTCGATGACGAGCAAATGAAGCAGTTCACGCTGCTGGCTACGACAATGGCAATATGCCTAGTGCTCAACGTGTTTATGTGCGTGTAACCATGATGGTCGTAACTCGAGATATGTAATATGACTGTATAAGCTGACGCAGAACACCGATACTATCGACGCCGATGTCTGCCTACCTGTCAATCTGCATGGCTATCTGAATGTCTGCCTCTGTTAGAGCAATATTCACGCGTATAGTTTTATGCCCTGAACTGGAACGCAAGAAGAAATGACGGTCGGACAAACCGAAAGACCAACAGATAGAAGAACAAACAACTAGCTAAACAGACAACCAGAATGATTCGGAAGTACGTATACACAATGCACAGTTATAGCCATGGGCAATGAGGAGGAGACGCAATGAACTGCTGTGCCCTGCTGAGATACGAGAGGATATATACACGCGCGCACACGTAGACATATTGAAATGCGACCAACGACCAACGATTTCGACTCTGACAATGATGACCCTGCGATTCAGTAGAAGTTATCGTTGATTCGTGTGACGCCGTTTCCACTGGCTTATGGCGTCGGAGCAATTCGTGGTCGCCAGTGATTCGTCACCACACACGGCACGATACACACGCTGAACACAGACACATACACATAGAGATACTCGAACACACATACACACGCGAAGAGACACACACACAAACAGATACACACACACACACGCGCCCTACATCACATACTCTAGACAGATACGTACCAATAGCAACAACAATACAGTGACGTTTGCCTCATCAGTTGGTTACGAAAATCACTATATCAAGATGATGACGGTGGTGATAATTATTATTTTGGCGATATATGTAGTTGACACAATGATCTACCTTAGATGTAATATATTTTATAGAAACGACACGAAAAGTGCAACGTTCAAATTTTTGCGCGGGTCGCGTATCACGCACGTTTAACGCCGAAGAATTTAAAGTTACACAAAATTTTACTCGTGGTACCAATATGACACACAGTCACAGAAACGTAACGCCGATAAACGACTGAAAGGAAATTGTTTAAAGGCGAAAATGTTCAAGTATACAAGCCCTTTATCGATCTAGAGACGATCGATGTTTTGACGCATCGACAATGTCTGGTCTGCACTTTAAGCAATATGTCGAATGCACAGAAAACGATATGAGATAACTTTCTTTCGTCTCTTTTCTGTTCTTTATTATGTCCATAATAAATAAAGCGACACAAAAGGCGACGACGCTGAGATAGATAACTAGACAATAGTAGCCATCAATCTCGAGCAAAGAAGGAACATAACGTCATTTACAACAAAAACAAGCGGCACCATTATTACCATGGCTTACACACACAGAAACAAACCAGTAACATAAAAACCCACCAACGTCACTCCAATTCGCGCTAACCGCAGCAATAGCAGCGGCAAAATTAGCTGGTGGCAGCTCGACGCCTACACTGCGCTCTTGTGGGCATCGTGGTTCGTTACGTCAACACTAGACGCGAGTGCTCTTTTTTGCATAGCCAGACCCGTGCCGGATCAGTGTAGTGGCAGTATTCGCTATATTATTATGGTTATCTCATATAGTCGGCATTTTGTCACAGTGACTGTAGCGGTGCTGCTAGTATTGACGCGCTGATGGCCAACGTGTTCTTGGCTGGCTGCTTGGTAACGCCTTATGTGACACTCACTGAATAATAAAAGAGTAGAGACAAATAATATAAGTGAACAGAGATGCATCGAGATGACAGCTTATGACAGACCAGGTCCATTATTTGACGCAACCATGGCGCCGTCGCTGCGATGGAACCCGGTCAACCTGCCTGGTTGTAGCGTTGCCTTCTTTGGTGGGGATTCGACTGTCGTTTTCGTTTTGTTCGATTGTTCAACCGTCAACGTTTATCAGAGTTGTTCGGCATGATGGCTCGTCTCGTTCGAGCTGCTGGCAGCAGCTGTAATTGTCCGCCATTCGCCGACTGGCAATCTCTGATTTAATCGGTTTGTCAATCAGCAAACGCCAAACAGTCAATCATTCACTCAGTCCAGTTGTTTTTCGTGTGTGTGTCCCCCTACTGTTTTTCTGAATCGTTGCTGCTCTTGCTTTTTCCAGCTTTTACCCTCCTGTCGTAGTTGTCTTCAGTTTATCCTTGTTGTCGCGCTGAGTAGTAAATCGCCTAACAAACATCTGATGCTCTCGAACGGTGGCGCACGTTGACATGACACACAGGCCCCTATGTCGTCCGCCAGAGGGAGCGCAGCCTGTCCTTTCTGACCAAAAGCCTTACCGTCCTCTTTTTTTTTTTTTTTTTTTTTTTTTTAAGCTTCAACTTGTGTTACGTTGCGCGAACTCTAGTTGATAGTTGGATTGTGCTTTTGGCTTATATCGTTATTCTAAATCCGATTAGCAGTAGACGTCAACTGTGCATTCCCTAGCATTCAGTCACACTGTCAACACATGGACATACGAAGACAACCTCTGGGCGCATACAGACAAAACAAGTAACATCGCAGGTCACTGTACGAATTAAATGTCATTTATTTTCGTCATCGACTAGGATTATTGCACATAGATTTAGGGCGCAGTGCCAGATCGAGAGATGTGGGAGAGTGGCTTGAGCGATCTAAGATGATCTCGGAACAACAAAACGAATTATCTCCGAGTGAGAAAAGAGCTGAGGTATCATTCTGTAATCTGAAGTGTATAAAAGCCTAAGAAATCACAGCGTACGAGACTCTTGCTGCTTATAACACCTTGAGCAACCAAAAAAAAACGGGTTTAGGAAGGGCAAAGACATCGCAGCGTTACTCCTGTTTGTAAGAAAGGGGCAGACGATAATTCAGATGGAACTGTGTGTGCACATCATGGACACGAAACCGATAGTGAATATTGATATTAATAATAATAGTGACGATTATGTGTGAAGCGCCTAATAAATACTTGGAGCCTTTGGGAAAAAGTAAGCGCGCTTAAAAACGAAACTCTCGAAGAATTGACAAGACGCGAAGATGCAATACAGAGTCATTTTGTAATATAAAATGTATAGAACCTATCACTCGTATAACAGCACACATTCACTCGCGCGAATCGATTGTGAGTTTATGGGTGCGTGGAACGGATGCATGGCTAGCCGTTGTATGGACTTACAATCTATTCGATGTGGTAGATTGCCCATTGGCAGAAGATCGGAGACACGGAGCAATATGACGGAACGGCTTAACTGATAAAGCTCGTATGGTCATCGGATTGCGAAAAGTCCGCAGCCGAAAAGAGAAGCGTTTCTTTCGCCGCTTTCCATCTTTATTTGACTATTAGCCAAGCAGCCGTACAACGGTGCCGTGCAACGCTGACAACAACAACAACAACAAACACTTTCCAAGCAGCCGTTCGTCACCGACATCGGATTCTCGCTAAAACCATTCCCTATATATGCACCGCAAACGTGTACAATGAGTCTATTCTACTATTGGAAATTCACTACCCCTAGGCAAAGCAACAGAGATTTTCGTAGAAATACGGTATATGCGCAAGAAATCTATAGAGCTTTACTAGCATGATAAATACTTGCTGGCGACGAATCCGGTGCGCGCAGACAAAGGACATGCGCCTGAGCTCATGTAACATACTAAATTATTTATGCAACAACCCTCGGACATGAGGGCTAGGATTGAGATAAGACTGGGGATCGTGAGATATATAACAACAACAACAACAACAACAAAAAAGAGAGAGGAAGCTTGAAATAATACAGCAGTAGATTACTCGAAGGAATTGTGGACATAGTAACATAGAAAATGGAGAACAAGACACCTTCATAGCTGTAGCTAATGTTGTATCAATACAAAACGAAACCAGCAGGTGTAGATGGAAGGGGAAATTATTAAAAATGGGGGCAAATGCGATACGATATCGAGGTGTCAACGAAGGACGAAGGGAAGATGAGACAGATCTGTTTGTAAATAAATATAATGTTGATATTTGACAAGCAAAAGAAAAGAAACAGTTATTTTCTGTGTGAACGTGTAGGTACTCAGAGTCTTTCTATTAGGTTGCTGTTCGAATTGCATTATTATAGAATCGTATAGTGTGTTCTTTTGGGAATGCCCTTCAGAATAAATTGACCCTATTGGTGCTCACAGATGCAACATCATCACCCATGTACCTACATGGGCAATGATGTCTTTAACTATATATATATATATATACGCAGAGAAATTATGCTTTAGATTCTAGATCGAAACGTAAAACGCTGTAGCTAGCGGTAGCGTCATGCTACAGTCATGTTCTCTTTTAATTTCATAGTGATAGTATATTTTATTTATTTATAGAAATCTTATAGCATACATATAGGTAATTATAGCATACAATTCGTATATTGTGGATTACGTACACAGCTAGACAATTTTATTCTACCCTGAAGTAAATGTGGCCACATATAAAACGGGGAGATCAGGAAGAGTTAAGGGGATATTATCAGGTTATCTTATTTCTGTATTGGAAGCTTTGAGTTTTAAATTGGAAAATGTAATAGAATATCTGTCAAAAAGACGGAGCTTAGATGCTATACGTGGAATATATTCGAGTGCATCCTTACTTCCATTATATCAAAATAGGCTTATAGAAAGAATGTTAACTAGGTCAACTCAGTAAAACAACGATCGACAACGCCTAGCTCTCAAATAACTAGCCTTTTAACGATTACATATGTGCATATATTTTTTTTGTGCATACTTTTGGCCTATATGATCGTAGCAATTAATCAGGAAGACGTTTAGTTATATCTATTACGTATATTAGGCTAAATGAAGCAGACGCCGAACTTTTTTGACTTTTACGAGCTTCAATTAGGTGCTCACTAGAAGATACTTCTAATTTATAATTTATATATATTTCAATAGATTCAACACACATAGGTAATTCTTACATCGCTATTATGTCTGTTTAATAGGAAAAATATGGTGATACCTTAAAATCTATGTCAAGCAAGCAAGCAAGCATATATACGACGCCGGGCCTGTAGCGGAGAAACTTCCTGTAATACACAGCGCAGCCTTCGTGAAATTATCTGTTGCTCAGCACGCCCGTTTGGCATGCGACGATACGTAAATCTCGTTCCCTTTTTCTCGTAGCACAGCGCCCGACGTCCTAGTTCGCCCAGGATTTTTCATGTTACGGAAGTCAAACGTCCAATGACAGCATGCGAACTCAACTAGCGATATCTCCGTTTTGTTATCGTTCTCCTATAGGCAAAATATAAGCAATGAGACTAAACAGGTGATGCTAATAAGAAAAAAAAAAAAAACCAGCTAGACGTTTATCTTTACGCAGGTACTGGCGAGCGATATGAGCAGTGTGATCTGTGCTAAATCATCTATTGTCAAGCAAAGGTTGTCACAACTGAACGATTCCTATTTGTCAACTGTTGGCCAATTATCCAAGCCAAAATGTCAAATGGGTGAAACGCTCGGGACGCTCTGAAGCCCATGATAGAAACTGAATCATCAACGTGAAAGATGGATGCTATCGTGAAGCGATCAAAAAGGGAGGTATCGAAACTGGCTAGTGAAAAGGTAGCACTTCGGGAGAGTTGAATCAACGAAGACATGGGGGATGCAAAATTTAGTCAAATCAATGTATCAATCCAGAAACCAGGCGAGTAACGAAAAGTGCCAAACAGTTTATTTGAAAGGGCAACTATGACGGCCGATAAAAAGGAAAAGCATATTAATAATGACGACGAATCATGATAGCATCGCTGACACAATAGGCTATTCCATGGTAAGAGAGCAATACCAGTGATTGTAACCTCTAAATGGAAGACAAATCGTTTGAATTTTTGCGGCAGTCGTATTAATAAATGTCCAATAGGAAAATTTACCTGTGTAAATCCTTAAACAATTTTTGACTTAATTCTCCGCATTCTTTGTTTTCTCTGGTTTATATATATGTCTACTTTTTACAACGATTTCTATTTTAGGAGTATTGATAAAACAATCAGTGCACGTAAGGGGCCATTTTGACTGGCGAAAAGCTCCATTCAACAACGGAGTCACTTCACAAGTGCGTCCTTTACATAAAGGATGCGTTGAAATATAGCCACTGACCAAATACCAAAAAACGTTCCTTGTAAGCCCTTCTTCGTTACATTATCATGATGTGTGTATCAACTGACATAAACGTGTGTCGGGGTACATGCGAAATGTGTCTAACATTAAGGAACCATCAACTAACACATATTAAAAATCAGTACAATCACCTCTCCGTCGCGCCTTTTCTTGCATTGCACGTTCATAGTAAATCACCGCTGGCAGTGATAAATTATTTTAATTATTCTACTGTATAAAGTGGATAATTGCACACATGATGGCGACGAAGAAAAGATGAATTTATTGTTCTTTGAGGCCTTACATAGGAACGCTGTCTGTTCTTTTGTATCTACGACTCAAGCATCCGTAGCGTCCCGTTTTTAAAATACAGCCAGCTTTAAAAATCGGGACGCAGCGGTTCGGGCGAACGCTAAAAGATTTGCGCATACTTGAGCTTGTCAGATATTATATATACATGTATTGTTCATCCTTAAAACATGGCCGACAGCCTGGGCCTACCCACACGGGCCATGCACGTTTCCTTTGACAGGGTTTGCGGATCTTCTCACATCTCAACAGATGGCGCTGCTCGTCGGCTAAAATTAGCGCCACAAGCAAGCAAGACGTCTATACAGTGACTAATTGTATTAATGTTTCCTTGGAACAGCGCGATGAAGGGAAAATGTATACCGCACTGGATTGCCATTACCCTAAGCTAAGCACTGGGCCAAGCTGGATTATGCAACGGAGCCTGTGACGTCGGCTAAAGAATCAACACGAATTATAAACATCGGGCCATCCAGCCTGTGGTTTAAGCCTGCAAAGCGGACGTAGCTGATACGTAAATTGCAATTTATTTGGTTAATTTGTCTCTTTTAAGTTTTTTTTTTTCTCAGACCCTGGTCAGCCATCAACATGTTGCACTGACGGTGCAACAGTATGGATAGGTGTTACACTGGTGTTGCCGTTGCTGTTAGAAAAAAGAGAGAAGAATAGAAAAAGATTAACACAAGGAGGGGTACTTATATACATATATCAGTGAAGATGCTCTTGGGTTAAGCGGCATTTATAGAGGTATTTACCAAGCGAGATATATTTTAGCAGCTTATGTGGGTGTCTATGTGGGTAAGTGCGTGCGATTCGAACATAAAACCTAAAACCTCGGACGCTAGTGATGATGGTGGTCTTGTGGTGCATCCATAGTGATGCTATCAAGGCCCTTGTAAGCTTCAGGTAAGGCTAAGTAGTACCGAAACTGGGTCCTTTAGTATCAAGATAATTTGCTAGTAAAGTGTGATCGCTCTCACGATCTTTAAAGACCTTGATGGAGGATTCGCACACGTTGGTATTCGGTAGTGCGAAAGGAACGTACTATGAAACAAGACAAAACATTTTGCCCAGGTCGTAGGCAATTCCTTGAAGATGTCACATTACTAGCAACATGAACTCTAGATTTTTACAGAGAACTTTAAATGTAATGGCAGCTATTTCGTAACTTGTTGAGAAGGGCTCCATTCAACTATTGAACTAACCAAATTAATTATTAATTAATCGTATAAATTGAGTTAGAAAAGTAATTAATTGAAAGATTGTAAAAGTATATCCCAACGTCTTGAAATGATTTGAAGTCCCGTTTCTTATTGAGCCTTAATTTATAAGAATAAATAATAATAATAAAATATAATGATGATAAGAAGATGACAATGAGTTAATCAATGTTCTCTTTTCGCCTGTGACCCCAAAGTACCCCACGGTTGTTCTACATACTTCTAAATAATCCTTAAGCTTTCTGTTCCGTTTCAGTAACATATGAGGATTTTTTTATTTTAAATATCGCCTATAAGATTGCAAGCCACAAAGATAAGATCACCTGCACTTCACAATATTTTACGTATTGACACATGCATCGTTAATTAGCTTGTATTGACTATACAAACTTTCGTTGTCTTAATCACACAACTTACGCTTGGACGTATAAAATCAAAATTAATTACGACCCCCCTGTGTAATTCGTTCAGAAGTTTTCAGCGTCCTACGAAGGATGGTCCTTACGTGTTCCATAAATACGCAATAGCTTTACAGGCCACATATTTGCATAGTACAGAATATGTCTATTGACATTCCTCTCTGATCTATTTTCTAATCCAATGTATAGATATTGGTGAGATACGTATAATTTGACGACTTCGCAATTACCAGTGCAGTGTGATGTTACCATTGTTATGACCATAGTTACATTGGAAAAAATTGGAAAAAAAAGGACACCATCAGGAACTTTCTATTTTACTGTCTACTTTATTGCAAAACATTCTGTAAATGCTATCGTAGATGATCAGTTGATGTGGTACGATCAGTTCCTACCAACCCAGTAAGTGCGATGGGCATGTAACATCATGCGAGCACAACGAACGAGTCATGCTTGTGCTAGACTTACAGGAAAAACACAACTCTTCACATAGACGAAAGCCGGTCGAAAAGTATTTGAAAGTAGTCACTCTAAATCATTATAGTGACGGTCTAGTTTCGTTCTCTAAATTTGCCCACAGCCGAAACAAGCGAGCTTGAATTTACTGATCAATTAAACATTAAATTATGCTGTATCGTTGAGCTCATTGGCCGTAACACTGATCGTGGTAGA